GAGGTGGCGTTCGGCGGCAAATAGATGTTTCGAACGGTATATTATATGTTCGGTGTAAAATGCAGCCCGAGCCGGTAGACGCTCGCAAAGTGCCGCGACGTGCGCGCAAGTGCAAAACAAGGGCTGCATACATGACACATTGTGCAAATGGCACATTTTGAGATCGGATACAGGACGCGTTTGTAGATGTCCGACGTTGTTTCCATAGTGAGCTAAGTTAACAATATATCATCATACATAAACATTTTCCGGGAGTAAATACTTGACTTATTGAATAAAGTTTGCTATATTCACTAACTAGTTTGGCAATATTATTCCGTGCATGTGTTAAAAACCTTATTTCCATTTGATTCATTGGATTACTCGCGTGAATGTTTAGCACGTAAATGCTTTCGTTTTTAAAACCGTCCGACCTCGACTACAAAACCATCAACCAGTTGCATAGGATTAAAAAAATGTCAACACTCACTCACCCCGTCTTAAACATTCCCAAAGAAGTGCCTCTGTCTCTCGTTGTGCTGGATGAAGTCACTGGCGACGAGTAAACCCAAAATAGTGCCAAACAGGCGCAGAGGCATTTTTCTTTTTTACTAGTTGTCCGAGTTCGGGGCCGGCAAATGCTGCCGCCATCTTGCTCAGCTCAGCTCTGTGCTGAGCTCTGAGAGCGGGAAAGACGGACTGCCCTCCCCTGCCCTCTGCTGGCGCGTGCTGTGCATTACAACCAATGTCGTCCCTGTCAAAACTCCGTGTCAGTGTAATAGAATGAAACGCATCTGTGATTTGGCGCACAGTCTGTGACGTCACGGTATTGAAAATCATACCGACGGTATTTCGAAATACCCTGGTATACCGTAATACCGTCATACCGCCCAAGCCTAACTGCCACCCTAAAAGGACCTCAAAAATGTTAAAAATGTTAATAAAGAATTTATTGAAAAGTTAGTTGGCTGATTGTTTTATATTGGCTCAGCCAGGTTATATGGGATGCCCAGTCTACTATATATGATATGGGTCACTCATTTTAAAATATTAAACTTTGTTTTCTTATCTTTAATTTTTCATCCTTATGTAGAATGCTATTACGAAACACACATTTGGTTGTTTATAGCATAAAAAACATCTGATTTAATGTGAGGTAGGGAAATAATCATTTGAGTATAAGTATGTGCATATAAATATGTAATTTACAACAGCTGTACGCTGCTTGAAAAGCTTGAAAATGCACCTTGAAAATGCTTGAAAAGTGTTTGAATTTGACTTTGGAAAAGGTGTAAGAACCCTGTATATACCGTTCTGCTATGCCACATACTCACTGGAGGACAACGTTTGATTACTGCAACACTGAACGTTTGAGTAACATTTCTAGCAAAACTGTCAGCTACATTTCTTGAATGTAAGAATTCATTTGTGATAAAAGGAATACTTAAAGGGTACTTCAGAGTAACAAGGGGTGAGTTGTTGATATACAAATACACATTTTGTTGAAGTAATCTAGGTTTTGAGCAAAACACTTTTGAACACTAAGAAAAGTCCATCCCCTTAAGATCAGAAAGCAACAAATCAAATCTTTCTTTCGTTTCAGAAAAAAATATTCCTTTTTTCTCCTTATTAAAATACTAAGTTTGATGTTTATAAACTATATCCATTGAATATTTGTCCCTCGCCAACTTATTTTCTCAGGTTTTCCTCCACACATCATCGCCTCCCTCACTAATCAGGATGCCAAGCCTTCATTCAGCATGTCGTAAGTTGAAAGCGGTATTATTTACAGAGTGGTCAGGACTCTGTGTACTGACTTGAAGTTTATTTTTCCTTGTGTGTGTGTCTCCAAGTCACCTGGACAGCAGCTGTGGTGCGGGTCTGTCTCTGGGAGGATACTTTTGTCCGCAGTGCCAAGCAAAGTACACAGAGCTACCTGTGGAGTGTAAAGTCTGCGGTATGTGTTATAGAAGATTTGTGTCTGTATTAGATAAGAGAACACTTTGATTTTTAAAACAGTGCTGTAGTTGCAGTAGTCTCAAAAGTTGTTTTGCTGCATGCACCAACATGTATTTTTTTTATTTGTGTTATTTAAGCTCATTTACTCAAAAATACAGATTACATTACATTGCATTTAGCTGACGCTTTTATCCAAAGCGACTTACAATAAGTCACATGTGCTCTGACTACAGGTTAGTTTGGGCCAGGTATCCTACTTTGGGACTTCAGGGGAGAAAGCACAAGCTTCCGGTCTGAGTGCTCTGCTGCTCAGCTTGTCTGGTCTACAAGCATCAATATAAGTTATTTGGCTAGTAAGGAGGAGGCAATCAGAGGAAGAGGGAGGGAGGGCAACGACACCCTCCCTCCTCACTCATTTTTCTTTTCGGATGTGCTGCATCACAAATTTGGCAAACCAAAAATGAAGATGGTGAACTACAAATGTGCAAATACATTTTATGTGCACCAATAGATCAACAAGCGCATAAATATTACTTTTCTTGTAAACCTATTACATTTTTATGTGAAATGTAACGTATGTATTTACAGATTAAGTTATGCATGTTCCAAAAATCGCTCTGTATTTTTTGTGGCCATTCCTCAACACAACAAAATAAACAACACATGTTTTTTGATAGTGAAATATTTATGGATCATGGGTGGTCCTAGTGTGTAGTTTTGGATTGTCTTCCGTGGGTTAAAAGTATTAAAGTCCAATAAAAGACCTCCATAATGCTGCATAACTTTGACTGTGTGTGATGTATCGTCTCCAAGGTTTGACTCTGGTGTCGGCACCCCATCTTGCCAGATCCTTCCACCACCTTTTCCCGCTCGCAGCCTTTACAGAGAGTCCTGTGGATGGGCTCCAAGACGACAGGTGGCTCTGACACACAAACACACTCTAGCCTCACATGCTAAAACTGTGTCTCTCTGTATCTTAACCTGATCTCATTTGGTTTCAGGGTCTGTCAAGCTTGTCAAGGGGAGCTGAAAGATAAAACTGTAAGTACAATAGCTTAATATAATGGCTTATTCGGATATAGTTCTAATGAAGATTGTTTAAATTGGATGCAACATTAGTATAAAAAAAGATACTTGATATCTCTTTGCCAACAGAAAAAAAAAAAAAGTCCTAAGCATACAAAGTAGACCTTTTCTTAATTTACAAATTGCACACATTACTGATAGTGGAACATATACAAATACTTTTTAAATATTGTTACAATGGTGGTATCGTCCTAATTAAACATTGACTTTAAAAGTACTCTTTCTCTACAACAAATGACAGGACTTTCTCAAACTAATCCCAAAATAGTGTTTCAGGTTACTGGACAATTTACTAAAACTAAAATGCAATATCCAAAACACATGTTATTCTTTAAAAACATATTTATAAAACAAATGTTTTAAGGTTGTTACTCCATAGCTGACTGTTGACCGGCGCATACTGAAAACTTATCTCTTTCGACTTCACTTCGAGCAATAAAATTAAAACATTTTTTTACTTAGATACTAACTAAGCACTTACTAACTAAGCACTACAGTGGGGCAAAAAAGTATTTAGTCATTCACCAATTGTGTAAGTTCTCCCACTTAAAAAGATGAGAGGCCTGTAATCTTCATCCTAGGTATACCTCAACTATGAGAGACAGAATGAGAAGAAAAAAAAATCCAGAAAATCACATTGTCTGATTTTTAAAGAATTTATTTGGAAATTATGGTGGAAAATAAGTATTTGGTCAATAACAAAAGTTAATCTCAATACTTTGTTATATACCCTTTGTTGTCAATGAAAGAGGTCAAACGCTTTCTGTAAGTCTTCACAAGGTTTCCACACACTGTTGCTGGTATTTTGGCTCAATGCAGATCTCCTCTAGAGCAGTGATGTTTTGGGGCTGTCGCTGGGCAACACAGACTTTCAACTTCCTCCAAAGATTTTCTATGGGGTTGAGATCTGGAGACTGGCTAGGCCACTCCAGGACCTTGAAATGCTTCTTACAAAGCCACTCCTTCGTTGCAGTGTGTGTTTGGGATCATTGTCATGCTGAAAGACCCAGCCACGTTTCATCTTCAATGCCCTTGCTGATGGAAGGAGGTTGTCACTCAAAATCTCACGATACATGGCCCCATTCATTCTTTCCTTTACACGGATCAGTCGTCCTGGTCCCTTTGCAGAAAAACAGCCCCAAAGCATGATGTTCCCACCCCCAGGTTTCACAGTAGGTATGGTGTTCTTTGGATGCAACTCAGCATTCTTTCTCCTCCAAACACGTCTAGTTGAGTTTTTACCAAAAAGTTATATTTTGGTTTCATCTGACCATATGACATTCTCCCAATCCTCTTCTGGATCATTTTCTTTTCTCATTTTGTCTCTCATAGTTGAGGTATACCTAGGATGAAAATTACAGGCCTCTCACCTTTTTAAGTGGGAGAACTTGCACAATTGGTGGCTGACTAAATACTTTTTTGCCCCACTGTACATACTAACAAAGCACTTATATACTAATAAAGGACTGGCTTATCTAAAGCCTATTGAGTATCACTTAAAATTGTTTGGCTCTCTGAAACCTAATTAAATGTACTTATTAGCGCTGTCAGTCG